TGTAGTCATCGTCGTCCCCTTTGTACAAGTGTGGAGATGGCACGGAACTGGGAGCAGGTAGAGAAAAGCGAGTTACAACATCATCATCCAAACATGAACACACTGAATACTTACCATTGTTACTAGGCATGCCATCCATCCGCGGTACAGTGGTAGTCGGTCCTAGGTCAACTGTGTATAGAACTGCTACACTAAGTATCGTAGAGGTGAGTGGAGACAGGGCAAACTCGTACAGGCCATCCTGGAACCGGTGTGTCTCCGTGAACAGACTGTAATTACAGTTGTCTGATTCATTTGCAATAGTAAAATTAATGCACTCGACTCGGTACCGCCGAAACCAAATGTTCAGGTCGGCCAGGTAGCTGCGCAGATGGGCTGTGGGTACAAGGATATCATTCAAGCTGTTGTTCACCATGAAGAATCGGGAGCGATGCTCGGCCAGCTCTGCTGCAACAGTGTCAGCTGTAGTGCAAGAGAAAGAAATGAAAGATAGATAGATAGATAGAGAGAGTGAGAGAGGGTGAGAGAGAGACAAACAGAGGGTTACGGAATCTCAGCCATTCCGTTCCCCGGGATGCAGGACACAAAGGACAAGCCTAGTTTGGTTTACATTATAATTATATTTGACATGACGGAAATTCAAGACTACACTGAAAGGGACGAACAAGAAGACTGACAAAAGGACTCTCGACTACAAAATCGCGCATGCTCATATCACACATGCACGCGACTAGACGAGACAGTTTGGAGAATGCCATCACACAGGAAAACAACACATCATTTCATAACAAGAGAGAGAGAGAGAGAGAGAGAGAGAGAGAGAGAGAGAGAGAGAGAGAGAGAGAGAGAGAGAGAGAGAGAGAGAGAGAGAGAGAGAGAGAGAAAGAGAGAGAGAGTGAGAGAGAGAGTGAGAGAGAGAGAGAGAGAGAGAGACGAAGAGACTGTTGAGTCGGGCTCGCTCGTTCGCAGACTGTTAGACAACAACTGGATGGGTTCTGAGATATCTCTTACTTAGACTATCATGATCTCAGACAATACTACAAGACCAAAGCAAAAGGGAAATAATAATAATAATAGGGAAAACCACTCGAAAAACCATGTCCGCCATTCCAACTCTCTCTCTCCAGAACTCCCTCAGCACAAACTCCCAACTCACTCAAAGTGTTGTCCCTGCCCTTTTGGTACGTGTGTGCCCCTTTTGGCACGTTGGTGCGGACCGCGCGCGGACTGCGCCGGTTGGAGATTATCGTACATGTTCTTGTTGTTGTGCGCATGCTTGCATGCTTATCGTGCGCATTCTGGTTGTTTTGGGTGCCTTCTTCCTGAGACTCTCCTTGGAGCAACAATGATAATCATTCTGTCCTCTGCGTGTGGCGTACGTGTATGAATAAGAGAGTAATCGGAAGGGCTATCGTGCGAGGGAAAAAAAAACCCCGACGACAATTGGCGCCCAGCTAGTGGCATCGTTCCCCACGACCCTGAGATCGTTTTCGTTTTTCGCCGTGGCTTCAAATCTTGCCTTCTCCACGCGTCCTCGCCATGGCTCCGCTTTGCTCCATCTGCTCAACCCTGACGTCGGAGCTCCTACTCAGGTGAGCCTGCTTTGTCTGCCCTGCGTAATGTTTTGTACCTTGTACGTAGTTCTCCTGGTACTAGTCTTCGATTTGGGATTTTCAAATAATTGTGTCGCTTCGTGGCATTGAAGTCCCGTGTTGTTCTCTTGTGTACGAGTACCTCGTTCGAGCCTCGCTCCTGTTAGTACATGATTGTGGCCCACGTTGTGTGTGCGGTGTTTTGAACCAGTGTACATTGTCGCCCTCCGGCCTCCGGCTGTTCGAGTGGTCGTGTGCACTGTGTTTTCACACCTTCTGACTTGAAAGTTAGTTTGTTGTCTGTGCTGTCGTGCATGCTCATCGTGTTGCTTGCTACGTCATCATGGTAGTCAGCATGGGTAGCTTTGCTCGTGTTTGCTTACTCGCCCTGTGTTGTGCACTGGTGCACGTCGTTTCGGTGTCGTCGGACTGCTCCGATCCTGTGTCTTCCGATTTGTTTCAGTTTGGTAGATGTCCCCATCGATTTACTCGATGTGGTGGCACTCCGTCGTTTCCAGTTTCAAGTACAAGTGCTTTCTTTTTCGTTTTACTAGTATTCATGTTTTGTGTCGAGCGTTTTAGTGCTCCGCCTGGTTGTCCCGCTCATGTGGAATGGCTGACGCCCAGTGGTGTAACATGCTTCTGAGATTCTCGTTGACGGTCCGGGTGGCAATATTTCTGTGAGTGTGTTGTTTGGTATTTGTGTTTTGGCACGTGGGTCTCTTCATTTCACCTAGGGGGCGTCCGATCATGGTGAGCCACGGTCTGCCTGGTGGACTGGTGGGATCCAGCGCTTATTTGTATCGGTTCGCCTTGCGGGTGTTCGGTTTCCGTGTTTTGCTGGCTGGCCTTTGTGCGTCCCAGTAGGGTTCAGGACGGTGTTTTTTTTGTGTTTCGTGAGCGGATGTGTTTCACGCGTGATATTCAGGTTCAATCCCTGTGGGTTTTTTCAGGTTAGAGACCTGTGGTTTTTTTCAGGTTAGAGGCCTGTGGTTATTCAGGGTAGCGCCCTGTGGTTTTTCTATGTTAATTTTTGTTTGCGTATTGGTGACCGATTTGTTTGTGTGCTATCTGGTGTCCTCATGGATAGACTGCCCCTGTATCCGTAGGCGTGTTCAATGTTGCTGTTCTGCCATTCCTTCTTGTGGTTTTTCTTGTCTGAATTTTGGCTCCTAGTGTTGCTGAGATGTTTGCGTCAGTCCGTGTTTCTTTCTTTCTGTGTATGTCTCTGTGAGTTTTCGTAGCCCCATCGGCTGCGCGATGGTTTTCCGGACAACTCCTGTGCTGTCAGATGACTGGTCACCCGGTTCAGCTGCCGCGGTCTTCGCAGTAGCGTCGGTTTGCCTTGTCTTCACACCAGGGCGAGGTGGTTGTTTTCCGGGGGCCCACGCCTGAAAGATGGCGGTTCCCTCTATAGGTGGGCCCAGTCTGTTTTCTTTCCACCCCTTTGCTTTGGCTTTTCCCCCATTGTCCGGAGTTACTAATGTATCCTACTGTTTTGGCCCTGCGTATCTGCATGTGTATGTTGTTCACATTTGATTTCTTTTTCTCCTGTCTGTCTTCTCGTTTTGTTTTCTTTTCTCCCATCCTCAGGAGAGGATGCATTTTTTTCATGTGGAAGTATGTTGTCCCTGCCCTTTTGGCACGTGTGTGCCCCTTTTGGCACGTTGGTGCGGACCGCGCGCGGACTGCGCCGGTTGGAGATTATCGTACATGTTCTTGTTGTTGTGCGCATGCTTGCATGCTTATCGTGCGCATTCTGGTTGTTTTGGGTGCCTTCTTCCTGAGACTCTCCTTGGAGCAACAATGATAATCATTCTGTCCTCTGCGTGTGGCGTACGTGTATGAATAAGAGAGTAATCGGAAGGGCTATCGTGCGAGGGAATAAAAACCCCCGACGACAATCTCAGTCGGTAGAGCATGAGACTCTTAATCTCAGGGTCGTGGGTTCGAGCCCCACGTTGGGCGCCAAATGTTGTAGTTGTAAGTCTACCATTACTTCTCCATCACTGCATCAGCTCAACCGCCACCACTGGACTGCCTTTTTACACTCTTTTATTGACGAATAACCAAGAACACGGAAAACGACTACATCTTGAACAAGACGACAGACCAAAGACTAGCTCACACAGTTTCGCGCATGCGCACAACACCACCAACCAATGACGCGTGTCCACAGCGACCAAGACGAAACAAACACGTGACACCAAATCTACCACAAAAGTATGGTTGAAAGCCTGCGCAAAGCAACAAGCACGTGACACGCAGATACCGCGCGACACTAAAACACGGCTAAACCGTGCACTACACGTAGGGTAGTGACGACAATACAAAGTCAGATACATGGCGACTGATATCATGCCGATCAGTAGCAGTTCAGTCAGTTGAGGTCGAACCTCAACAGAGATAGACAGAGAGAGAGAGAGAGAGAGAGAGAGAGAGAGAGAGAGAGAGAGAGAGAAAGAGAGAGAGAGAGAGAGAGAGAGAGAGAGAGAGAGAGAGAGTGGTTGCTTTCGTGAGGGGTTTGTTATTTAACATGGCTTGAGACAAGCTTTTAGCTCTCTGAACTGATTATTGCTCGCATCAAGAGTCTTTGGGAATCACACACGCACGCACTCGCGCACGCACTCGTGCACGCACGCACGCACGCACACACACACACACCTTTGACCTTGACCTTTTGACGCCCATCGCCGGAGGCGATGATAGCAATGCTACGGCAGAAGCCATAGCAACTTGTGCTGGGATTGCACTATTCAACAGCTTGCAAGGCTGAAGAATTGACCGTCACTATTCAGCCTGGTCTACACCATACAGCTATTTGAAGTGACTTTTTCTGGCCAGTGAATCCCTATTTTTGGTATTTTTCATTTTTTTTCCCGCACACACATCACATACTCCGGCATACACTGGCTGTTGGTAACCACCCAGGAGAATATGAAAGAAAAGTCAGGAAGAGTCTGAGAAAGAGAAGAAAGACGTGTGTGACCATAATCGTCGGGAATCGAACCCGCAACCTATCGATTGGAAATCGCTGCACATACCACAGAACCATATGGTACACACACACACACACACACACACACACACACACACACACACACACACACACACACACACACACACACACACACACACACACACACACACACACACACACACCTCAGACCTCAGACCTCAGACATGCCCATCGCGGGAGCGATGATAGCGAACAGCTATGTTTTAGACATAGCAACTTGTGCTGGGATTACACCATTCAACAGCTTGCAAGGCTGATGAATTGACCGCCACTATTTTTAGCCTGGTATCCACCACACAGCTGTTTGAAGTCACACACACACACACACACACACACACACACACACACACACACACACACACACACACACACACACGTCAACATGAATAAATACACACGTGCGTTATCTCACCTTCCTGTAGAGATTCGGAAAACGTGTAGATGATCCGCTCAGCAGATCTGATGGCAAATCTCCCTTCTGGTAAGGAGAGATTAGCCAGCTGTTGTAGTGTATTCTGTGTGTAGACACTGTGCACCCTCCACTCTGAATCAATCAAGCTGAAAACAGTGACGTTTGAACTCCCAAGCCCTTCGTCAGTAATATTTAGCATGTCGACAATGGATTCACCTGAACAAAGGGCAGTCCAGCACATTACAATCCGTCGTGTGATAAGGTGGGTATTACCCATACACAGTTGTGGTATTGAAAAGAATGATCAAATAATGGGAAGAATTTGATTATTCGTGGAGTGAACGGATATTCGAGTAATGGCAGGAACTGGCAGAAATCGAGAAATGATCACTGTAGTGATGTAATCATGTACATATGTATAGTGTGCGCATGCGTGCATGCTTGCAGTAGAGAACTCGCAGAGCTTGAAGAAGAAGCCTGCAATGGCTACCTCCAGACTTGTATTGTTGTAGTGTTGTCCATCTACATTGGCGCAGTGAACAGGTCAAGATGACAACGAAGGGCAGAGTGCCCAAGGATTTTGTACCCGATTACGCCGGCGACATCGGGGCCGATTTTGAGCTTTGGCTCGAGGATGTCAACGATTACTTAGCAATTTGTAATGTTTCTACTGCTGCTGACAAAAAGCGTTTATTTTTGAATTTGGCCGGACTCTCAGTTCGCAAAGTTGTGAAGGGTCTGGTTGTTCCTTCTCCGCCAGCAAATGATGATGGTTCTCCTGGAGACGAATACGCAGCACTGACGGACGCCGTTCTGGGGCACTTCCGTCCCACCATCAATACGACGTCAGAACGTCACAAATTCCGGCAGCTCAAACAAGGGCCGGAGGAATCCGTCTCCACCTTCGTTGGCCGTTTACGAGAGAGAGTGGACTTATGTAAATTCGGGGCGACGGATGTGGACAGCGTGGTAAACTCCCAGGTGCGGGACCTGTTGGTTGCAGGTTTGAAATCCCCCGAAGTTCGTCGCGAGTTGCTCAAGGAGTCCAGACTCACCCTCGCAGATGCCATCACCAAAGCAGTGGCACTGGAGACCTCCTATGCGGAGAGTAAGCTGTATGATCCGCCGGCAGAGCCTGCCAATCAGTTTAGCTCAGTGGCCGCCGTTAGTGCGACCAGACAGCAACGCAGACAGCCACGTACAGTATCTGGGTCTTGCAAGTACTGTGGCCGTACCCATGCTAAGGGAAAGTCGTTTTGCCCTGCAGCCAACATCCGCTGTCGCAGTTGTAGCAAGGTCGGACATTTTGCGGCCGTATGTCAGTCGCAACGCTCTGAGATTGAAGGCGTGTGGGAGAAGCTGGCAATCGACCTGGTATCTATTGAGGGCCACTCTGTTCTCTCCCTCATTGATTATGGCTCCCGATACCCTATCCTCAAGGTTCTGTCCTCTACAACCACTACAGCTATCGTGGACGAGCTAGATGAAGTGTTTGCCCTATTCGGTCTACCGTCTGTACTGGTTTCGGATAACGGGCCACAGTTTGTGTCGGAGCAGATGACCACTTTCTTGCAGCGGCTGGGCATTCGTCACATCCGCTCCAGCCCACGTTATCCACGTTCCAATGGCATGGTGGAACGACTCCATCGTCTCGTCAAGGAAAGAATGGTGGCGCTGAAGCCTCATTTACCTTTCCGTCGACGACTGAACCAGGTTCTGTTCGACGTCCGACATTCTCGACACCGCATGTTGGGAACCTCTCCAAACGAGGCTCTGTTCTCTCGCCCATTGCGTAGCAGAGTTCCTACCATGATCCCTCCTCGCATTATCAACCCCAGCATCCAGCTGAGAGCCAAGGCCACAATGGCACGTGATCATGACGCTCGTCGGGGAGTGAAGGCCTTGCCACATCTGCAGGCGGGCAAGCGGGTGATCCTCCATGACGGATACAATGATCCAGCCAAGCCGTGGACCGTGGTGGAGCAGTACGGGAGGCAAGTGGGAGTAACCGACGGTGTCCGGATTCTGCTTCGTAACCGCCAACATGTCAGAGAATTGGTCTCACCCGCTGCTGCATCGTCTGATTGGCCTGAGTTTGTTGCCTCCGTACCCAAGTCACCGCTGTCCACGCCTCCTGTTAGTGTTCCGGTTCCGACTAGCCCGGCCGCACCACAATCGGCGACAGGTAGTGAGCCATTGGTGCCAGCGTCAACGGAAGCCGAGGCCCCTCTCACCCATACTGCACTTGCTGACGCCTCACCCGCGTGTTCTTCGCCTCGTCCAGTTTCTCCTAGCGATGTCTGCAGGGATCAGACCAGCTCACCAGCCAGTGAGTCTCCCAAGCGATTTCATGATGGCATGAAAACCCGTTCTGGCCGTCAGGTAACCCTTACAGAGAAGGCCAGAGCGGCTTTATGGATGACTGCTGCTGCTGTGGGACAGTGTGTCCATGGACACGTAGAGACCATTTTCCCGTTTTTTTGTGCTGACATTTTTTTGTTTTTTTCCTCGTTCACAGCCGCTTGTCGGTAGTATGTAGCGTGGTTGTGTTTTGTTTTGTTTTTCTCAGTGATTTGCAGTTTTGAATGACTGGCGCATGGCATGCGCCTTCGCATCGTGTTTTTTTTCCTTTTCTTCTTTTTGTTTTTTTCTCTTCAATTAATTGGCTTTTCCTTCTTCACTTTGTTCCTTTATTTTGATTTCTTCTTCTTCTTCTTTTTTTTTATTTGAAGGGGGAGATGTAGTGATGTAATCATGTACATATGTATAGTGTGCGCATGCGTGCATGCTTGCAGTAGAGAACTCGCAGAGCTTGAAGACGAAGCCTGCAATGGCTACCTCCAGACTTGTATTGTTGTAGTGTTGTCCATCTACAATCACGGGGTATACATTTGCAGATTGTGCACTCAAAGTGCAGGCATGCTCCACATGCATATTCACATGCAAACAGCTGCAGGGTGGGGGGGGGGGGGGCATGGCATGAACAGATACTGTTTGTACCAGATCTCCTTTGCATCTGATGAGTCTCTGCAGCATAGCGCAGTGCTGTCGATGCACTGCGCTATGTGTGTAGCTGGACAACACTCTTGACTTGTGGTGACCAGCTTCCACTCAATGCACTGCTCAGCCTTCCTATAGAGGGTATTACCTGATCAGTTGATATGCTTTGGAAAAGTGGCAGCACAGCCCTGCACTTGCACTAGCAATTGAAGCTGCATACATAGCGGAGGTGACCGTGAGGTTGGCAGGGGAAACAAACAGTCAGTTCACCCATTTTGTCCATGTTCCACTACAGGTGAAATCCTTATAATTCGAACCTCAAAATGCCAGAAAAACTTCTAATTATCCGGATATTCTAATTATCCAAACATGAACCCACAACACATTATGTATGTCAAAATACTCTCATGGTCACGCAGAGTTGCGCTATGGACCTTCGGCACAAATTTTACTGACACTGAACTGACCGGCACAGCCTGCTCGTGCAAACTGAACTGACCAGTACAGTGTACAGTGAACTTCGAATTACACTTTGCTAACTTCGAATTATCAGCACAAATTCCATACATTTTCTATGTAGGTGGAATCTGTGGGACTTCTAACTAACCGGACATATCGAGTTCGAGGTTCGAATTATCAGAATTTTTTATGTGGGAATCGTATTGATAGAAATCGGTCCTGGAAAAATGAATTACCAGGATTCCACCTGTATTGTATTGTCATACAAAATAGAACGTACGTGCGCAGCGAGGACCCTGAATGGAACATGTGGCGGCACTTTCGTTGCGTGAACCCAAAAATCGAATTAAAATATACGAGTAGGGTGGTGCACTATCAGGGTAAGGGGAGTAAGGGAAGGGGGGGGGGGGCGCTATCAGGGTAAGGGAGTAAGGGAAGGGGGGGGGGAGCGCTGCCTCCCCCCCCCCCCCCTTCCCTTACTCCCTTCTCAAGAACTCTGAAATATCACCAGAGCTAAGCAGAGTGATCCCCGGCAGCAAACAGAGACCCTCAAGTCCCTTCATCGGTTGGATATGTGCCGAGGAGCTTAGAGTAAGCAACAAGTAAACTGAAGATGGCATCAACATGTATAAACTGAAGATGGCATCAACAAGTATAAACTGAAGATGGTATCAACAAGCATAAACTGAAGATGGCATCAACAAGTATAAAAACTGAAGATGACATCAACAAGTATAAACTGCGCAGGATAGAGGACGTACTGTAGCATAGGCGGCAGATCAAACCCAATTGACATGATCGTGCACTAGAAATAACAATACAATCATCAGCAACAAACATCACATTCCGCATTGTACGCTTTGCAAAACCTGTGTCTAGGCTTTCTAAATGCCGTTAAATCTTCCACACTGTTCCACCAGTGTTAATATCATGGCCACCTCGCTGTGACTACTCCCCGGTTGGCCTGTTTTTAATGTCAGTCTGCACACACCCTGATCAAGCAATCAAGGTATACCAGACTTGGTCTACAATAGAAGACCACAAGTTTTCATATCCTGGGAATTGGTCAGTCAAACAGAATGAGAATGTGTGGGGATGGGACCATATCACTTACAGCTGTGTGCGGGTGTGCTGATATAATAACCGGGTCTACACACACACCGGTCTTCACCAGGTACCGCCACCAAGTTGTAACTGCTATTGCAGTACCCTGTAGCAATGAAAACAGAAGTACATTAAACTGCAACAATGAACAGAGAAGCATATTACACTGCAGAAAAAACCCAAATATACTGCTGTCTGGGTTGACAACACTGGTAACACCAATTGAGCAGTGCCTGTATTAACAGAATTTAAACTTGCTCTACGTATTATTGTGATTACATGTCTACCCTCGTTAGTACGACATCGACTACTAGACAAACCTCATTAGTAGACAACGATCAAAAATCCCGTGACGCCTGAAAAATCCCGTGACGCCTGAAAAATCCCCTGACGCCTGAAAAATCCCCTGACGCCTGAAGTGTGTAGATTCACGACAGGATAGTAGATAATACTGGTTATAAGAGAAGAATTTGAAACCAGCGGGGTTATTTACTCAAAGAACTTTGATAACGTTGTTGTACATGTGGCTGCGCTTGTGTCTCTTCGTTGTACATGCGGTTGCACGTGTAGCTCTTTGTCGTACATGTGGCTGCTTTTGTGTCTCTTTGTTGTACATGCTGCTGAGTCGTGGTACATGCTGCTGAGTCGTGGTACATGCTGCTGCGCTGTTTTTGACTCCTGCGTACATGCGGCTGCACCGTCTTCTGTCCCCGTTGGTACACACTTGCTCGTCTTGTCCCCGTTGTACGCCTTCAATCTACAGTCAAATCTGCCGTTAGCGACCTCTGCTGTAGGCGACCATCTACCGTTAGCGACCGATTTTCCGTGCACCGACGGTTTCACATACAAACTGATCTGTCCAGAGCGACCATCTGCTGTGCGCGACCAGCGACCGCGATTTCATGCACGGTGGCTGCATTCAAATCTGCTGTAAGCGACCGCGACCCAGGTTCAGTAAGGTGCGAAACTGTACTTGCCAGTGCGCTGTCAACTGCAAAGTGTGAAAATGCGCTGTCTTGCAAGTGCGATCGACTGGCGCCTGGCCTGTACTGAGGCTGTGCTGTAGCTCTCAAGTCCAGGCAGTACAGTGTTGATCTACTGCCGTGTCGCATACGCGTACTATACGGGTATGGTCGTCGTTGAATATCCAATAAAATGATATAAAAAATCACATTATTCTCGTCGATTTGAGTACATGGAAGCATATACCTGGTATGCCGGATTTACCATACATCTGCCGTAAGAGACCATCTGCCGTAAGCGACCGCTTTTTCTTGCACCAAGGGGCGGTCGCTTACGGCAGATTTGACTGTAATATATTCTGTTGTCTAGTCTTGTCTCAGTGTCAGTCGCCCGTCGTTCGTTGTCAGTGTTAGTTGTCTGATAACCAGCAGTTCTCCAGTCACCTTACTGAAATGAAGTAGAAGAAAAGTATTCTAACAATTTGCACTAGTCCTGTGTTGTGTGGCGTGGCGAGGAGTCTAGAGGTAGTTCGTTCACGGTTCTCAAACCCGTGACGACATTTGGCGCCCAACAAATCGTATCTACGACCCTGAGTTCGTCTCCATATCAGCTGTGTTTTCGTCTCCTCTTCGTGTTCTCGCCATGGCCCAGCTACTTGAGTCTCACGAACGTCCAAGCCTCTCATGAGAGCGCCTACTCAGGTGAGAATGCCTTTGTAATTGTCTACTCTGCGTAATGTGTTGCCGTAACTTGTATTCGATTTCGAATTTTTTCAAATTGTTTTGCGTTGGGTGACTCTGGTCCCGGCAGGAAGTCCATGGAACCTTGTTCTCTTGTGCTCGAGTGTGTAGTGAGTCTAGCTGCTCGTTGTCAGTTCGCCCCGTTGTGTTCGTTGTTCCTGTGTCGCTCTGACTAGTAGATCGACTACCCTGTACTGTACGGTTGTGTGTATGAAAATTTCAAACTTCTGTTCGTGTGCTTTGCGTTCGAATCTGGAACTTGTTTTTGCTTGCTCGTCGTGAATTCAGCATGGGTAGCTTTGATCTCGTCTTGTGTTGTGCACTTGTGCTTGTCACGGAGTTGCCGTCAGACTGCTCCGATATTGTGACTGTGTCGCGTGATTTGTTTGGATGTCCACCTGAACGTTCTCGAGGTGCTGCCTCGTTTGTAGTCGATCCATATTGTTTTGTTTCGTGTTTCTACCGTTTCACTAGTACTAGTAGTAGCAGTAGTTTCTCCATGTTCCGTGCAGAGCGTTGTCAGGCTCGGTCATGCACTGTGCACCCAGTCGGAAAGCTGGTGGCTTCCGGTTTGGTGGGAGGTGTGAACTTCATGTAGGATTCTCGTTTCGGATCCAGGTTGAATTTTTTTGTGAGCGTATGGTTTTGTAATAATTGTGTTTCGGCATGTGGGTCTCTCTAGTTCGTTTGGGTGGGCGTCTGATCATGGTGAGCCACGGTCTGCCTGGTGGTCTGCAGGGATCCTGTGTTTTGTTGTATCGGTTTTGCCTTGCGGGTGTTATGGTTTCCGCGTGTTGCTGGTTGGCCCTTGCGTGCCCCAGTCGGTCCCTGACAGTTTTTGTCTCGGTTTTTTGGTTTTGCGAAGCGGATGTAGTTCCGTGTTTTTCAGGTTCAATCCCTGTGGTTTTTTCAGGTTCAATCCCTGTGGTTTTTTCAGGTTCAATCCCTGTGGTTTTTTCAGGTTCAATCCCTGTGGTTTTTTTCAGGTTCAATCCCTGTGGTTTTTTTCAGGTTAGAGACCTGTGGGTTTTCAGGGTAGCGCCCTGTGGTTTTTCTTCATTATCTTTTGCATAATGGTAACCGATTTGTTTGTCTGTCCTCAATGGTATCCTCACTGATTAATTGCTCCTGTTTCAGTCAACGTGTTCTTCCTGGCTGTTCTCTGGGTCCGTCGGCTTAACCCTGTTTCCTCATGCATTGTGTACTTTTGTTTGTCTTGACTGTTGGGTGGGTGGCGTACTAGGTTGGTGCTGTTCAAATAATCAAGATCCAAAGGGACAACTACAGGTCGAACAGCTCGCCAGCCGGGGTCCTCTGCAAAATCTGTTGCTTGCAGGTTCCGTTTGATTGATGCACAGTTTTGCGGGGCTCCCGACTGGTGTTAACCCTCCTGCCTACTCGTCATGCATTCAACAGTTGTGGCCCTACTTCTTTTCTGTTTTATTGTCGCCTGTTTATGTTGCTCCACATTTCATTTATCCTGTCTTTCTGTCTTCTTCTCCGGTCTGTCTTCTTCTGTTTTTTTTTAAATTTATACACTTCCATCCACAGGAGCGGATGTCTTTTTTTGGTGGGGATAGTGTTGTACATGTGGTTGTGCTTGTGTCTCTTCGTAGTACATGCGGTTGCACGTGTAGCTCTTTGTCGTACATGTGGCTGCTTTTGTGTCTCTTTGTTGTACATGCTGCTGAGTCGTGGTACATGCTGCTGCGCTGTTTTTGACTCCTGCTTACATGCGGCTGCACCGTCTTCTGTCCCCGTTGGTACACACTTGCTCGTCTTGTCCCCGTTGTACGCCTTCAATCTAATATATTCTGTTGTCTAGTCTTGTCTCAGTGTCAGTCGTCGTCGTCCGTTGTCAGTGTTAGTTGTCTGATAACCATGAGTTCTCCATCGCCTACTGAAGCGAAGTAGAAGAAAAAGTACTCTAACAACAATTTGCACTGGTCCTTTGTTGTGTGGCGTGGCGAGGAGCCTAGAGGCAGTTCGTTCACGGTTCTCAAACCCGTGACGACACCTATTTTGAGTCTTGGAATACGATAGGATCACTTTTTTTTTTTTTTTTTTTACAAACGGGTACCTTTTACTAACGGTACCTGAGATTAACGGGCGGGTACCCGGTACACCCGTTTGACCCCTAGTTTGAATACACACACAGAATCAATAGTATTGTCTTAGGGGTCGGTGAAATAGTTTTTGTCGTGCCTGGAATGAACATCGTTCATTTTAGGGCAGGTGGTTTTAGCTAAAATCTCAAGTCGACTGACGATGTTCATACATATCAATTAACATGCTATTTTCGTCGTCCAGAATAGCAATCTGCGTTTCATTTTGGAGGGTGGGGAGGGGTCCGAGTACTAAATGAACCATGTTCGTTTCCAGGACGATTAAAAACTATTACTCTGGTCAATGTGATAGAAAACAACTGCTGAGATTGCTGAGTCCACTGTGTGTGGAAATCCTGAGCAGAATTTGTCACACACATACATAGAGTAGGCCACTTGATGCTAGCAGAGCGGGGCACTTACGAGACACACAGATTGTGGGACGTGCTGTGGTGCAGGAGTCTTGACCTACTGTGTTAGCAGATGGTTGGTAGGTAGCGCAATGAGACCCATTAGTGACGTTGGTGTATACCGGTATGTTGGTGACGCTGTTGTCACGCAAAACTTGCGATGTGTTCAGCAGTTGTGAGGCACAGCTGAGTTGCTGCCCGTCTGTAGACAATGGACGACCACCATATTGTTGATAGCACGTCTGGTTGGCATGATCTGCTGAGAATGAGATGCTATGGTATGTATACATGTGTGAGTCACACACTATAGAAGCTGCTTGTGTACCTACAGCCACAAACAAGAGTAGAACGGATATACAATCATGTCGTCTCAGACAGTGCCATACTTTATGCAGAGTTATGGTTTCTGCCAAGAGATGTGTATAACACTTGTTCATACCTGAGACACTTTATGAAACCCGTTGTACATAAGTACATAAAGTGGGGAATCCAAGCAAAGACGAACTGTCGCAAAGTGTACGCTTCTCGTTGGCTGAGGATTCGAAAGAAACGAGAAACAATGTTCTCTCAAAGTTCGAATATTTGCGAAGCTTGTTTTTTTGCTAACTGTATTATTTTTGTTGTGGCACGCAGTGCAGGTTGACGTCACTGTAGTGACGTAATCATTGTTGAGCGAGCGCTGTCAAACAGCGCTTGCAATTTGTCTTGCAATGTAGCTGTCTGCAGCCGACCCTGCACTGTGGTTTTGCTGTTGCAAATGTGAGGTGTGAGAGAGAACCGAAAGTCAATATCTTACTAAAGTCCATGTTTCGCTTGGCTTCCCTCATTATGTGCTTTACATACCTTTGAGCCTCAAGTTGAGTGGTCTGTTGCCTTGCGTCATCCAGTTGTAGTTACGCTGGTGTATCCAATGTTCTTACTAGTCTCGTCATCCTGTAACGTTCAACATTTTTTGTAGCCAAGGGACACAGCTCGTGCACATCTTCGTGGCGAATCCCTTCCCCTCATTGGAACTGTAATGTTCCTGAGTGAACATCAAGTTAGTTCCCGCACTCCATAGATTAACTTCACTCCACAAGTCCCAGACAACAACTAAAGCTTATTTACATAGAACAACGAAAGATAAAGATGCACAACCAGGATCCATATATGTACACAGTACGGGAATGCATATGGGTAACCGATCCCGGAACGGATCGGGTACAACAACGGGACCACAACATCTCCCTTTTTATGTTCGAAGAGAGAGAGGTTACAGAGGTAACAGCTCGAAGAATATTTAGTCATATACATACAGAGGAGATAGGGTAGAGACAGACAAATACAACATGCAGTTCACGATCATCAGCGTCAGCGACTGGAGTGATCATAGCATGAGTAATGACTAATGCGTTTACAGGTCGAGTCTGTTCAGCGGCCGGCTGATCGGCGCAGGGTAGGCTGGAACTCGACATCAGCGGATGGAGGTTCTGCAGGTGTAGTGACATTCAACTGCGGTGTTGGTGTTGGTTGCACATCAGGTAGCAACTTGATGTAGCGACGGTTGCGGCGGTACTCGGACAGGTTGTCGATCGTGACAATATAGGACCTGTTGGAGACGCGGTCTGCAATCACGGCTTCGGAAGCGAGATCTTGCACCCAGACTCGGTCGCCTTGGGTCAATGGTGGCAGAGACTGTGCTCGGTGTGACGAGTCGTACGTCTCACTCTGTCTGTCTTTCTGCCTCACCTCGAACTTCCTTAGCTTGGCAAGATCAGGCCAACTTGGAGCGAGGGATTCCGCTGTACATGGGAGGTGTGTGCGTAGGCGACGACCAAACAGGAGCTCGGCTGGCGAGTAGCCATTTGCGAGGGGTGTTGACCCGTAACTGAGTAGGGCATCGTTGAGGCTGTTGTTGGTCTTCAGGAGACGCTTGAATGTTCGAACCGCTCGCTCAGCTTCACCGTTGCTCTGTGGGTAGTGCGGGCTACTGGTACGATGGGTGAGCGGCATTTGGGCTGTGAATGCGGCGAATTCAGCACTTGCGAACTGTGGACCGTTGTCCGACACAAGGACTTGAGGGATGCCATGGATGGCGAACAGCTCGTGGAGTTCCTTGATGACGGCTCCAGAGGTAGTCTTCCGTAGCGGGATGGCGTGAATGTACCTGGAGAAGTAGTCGACAGCAATGAGGTACTCCTGACCGTCATGTTGGCAGAGGTCGACTCCGATTCTCTCCCATGGCAAAGAGGGAAACGCAGTTGGAGACAGAGGCTCTGGCGGCTGAAAACGATGCTTGGTGCAGGTCAGGCAGTTCTGCACGCATTCTGAAATGGCACGTGTGATACCTGGCCACCAGACGGAGGACTTCGCACGGGCCAGGCACTTGGTTATGCCTTGGTGGCCGTCATGCAAAGTGGCAAGTGTAGCTTTGCGCTCGGATGCCGGGACTACGATCCGAAATCCGTGGTACAGCAGACCGTCGTGAACTGAGAGCGAGCCACGTTCGTTGCGGTAGGCTTCCAGGTCTGCGTTGACCTTGGTCGGCCAGCCATGGAGGGTATGCTGGATTACTTGTTGCAGGACTGGATCGTCAGCAGTGGCTGTAACGAGAGCGTGTTGCTTGGTAGGACTGCATAGAGACGACAGGACAGCGGCGATGGTGGCTTCCGAGTCACTGTGTAGGTCGGATTCGGTTGCTGGCGTGTCAGGAAGAGGAGCTCTGGACAGCGTGTCGGCGAGAACCATGTTCTTGCCAGGCACGTACTCCGCCTGTACATCATAGCGCAGGAGTCTGATCAGTAGATGTTGGCAGCGTAGAGGTACTCGGTCGAGGTCACGCGTGTTCATTAGTGGGACCAGCGGCTTGTGGTCCGTCTGAATGGTAAATCGGGGCGCTCCGTAGAGGTATTGATGGAAGTGTTCACATCCCCAGACCGAGGCGAGGAGCTCTTTCTCGATCTGGGCATACCGTTTCTCTGCTGCTGTCATGGTGCGTGAGGCGTACGCGACCGGCTTCCACTCATTGTCGTGGAACTGTAGCAGTGCAGCACCCAATCCATAGCTGCTCGCATCAGCCGTGACGATGGTCGGTGCAGACGGGTCGTAGTACGCGAGACACGGGGCTGAGGCAGCTAGGCGTTTGAGCTCTGTGAAAGCTAGCTCTTGTGCTTCGGTCCATTGCCACGTCGCGTCGCACCGGAGTAGCTCGCGCAGTGGGGCGGCTACGGTCGACAATGACGGCAGAAACTTGGAGAGGTACGTGAAGAGTCCAAGTGCACGACGGAGCTCTTCCACATCAGTTGGTGCTGCGAGGCGCTCGATGGCATCCAGCTTAACTGGGTCAGGGTGGACACCCTTGTCGCTGATCCGATGGCCCAGGTACTTTAGGGACGTGTGTTATAGACTGCATTTACATGCCGTCGCTGCATGCTTCTCTCTCGCTGCTTCTTCGTACGACATAATCTCCATTCGCGCATGTCTACGGTATTCTCTCATCATGGCTGCTGGCCCTTACCTGGTTGCTCTGGGCATGCTCGGGCCATTCTCTTGTTTACCTTCGTAATGATAACTACCAACAATAATTACTCCTCGTGTTGCTTGTGACTGTCGTGTGCCACAAGCATGCAGTAACTAAGTGTAAGTTACAACAATTGGCGACGAAGATGGCTAGTAGTTTCAATCTCCACGAGGGTCAGTCCAATCGTCTACCTACGTTCGACTCGTCAGGTACTCCTGCGGAGGTTGGCCAACGCTGGAAGAAATGGTTCCGCAGCTTTGAATACATGGCGGAAGGAATGGGTATTGCTGACACTAAGCGTTTGAGATCTCTTTTACTACATTCCGCAGGCCCAACAATTCAAGATGTATTTGACGATCTCACCGATCCTGAAGCAACAAGTCCTCCGGCGGATGACGACGAGGTCAAGAAAGCGTCACGCATGCTGAGTCACCACTTCAAGGCCGAGCCGAACCCTATCTACGAGCGACACTTGTTTCGACAGCTCGCCCCCAAAGCCGGTGAGAGTATCAGTCAGTTTGTTGTACGTTTACGTCAACAAGCTAGATTTTGTGATTTTGGTGATGTCACCAATGATATGATCCGGGACCACGTGGTGGCAACTATGCGAAATGTGGAACTAAAAAAGAAATTACTTCAAGAATCGAAATTGACATTGGCCACTTGCTTAGAGATTTGTGCAATTTTCGAGTCAACCCAACGTCAAGCATCAGCTATGGGTTCTGATTCTTCTGAACAAACATTGCCGTCGGTGAACGCCATCGCAAGTAAGGCCTCGTCTGCGTCTGGATCTCGTCCTGGCAGTTCTCCTCATTTTGTGAATCGATCTAACCCTATAAATCGTTCTTCTGCCTCTTCTGTTTCTGGTGATCGAGCGTCGTCTGAGCGTTTGTGTTATAGGTGTAACCGACCCGATCATCTCGCAAACCACCCTCAATGTCCTGCTCGTGGCAAGAGATGTACCAAATGCAGGAAAGTCGGTCACCTCGCGTCATGCTGTACGTCCCGAGCAACTAACAACATCGACGTCGAACCTGAGGATACAAGTGAGTCTTTTGCGATTGGTGCCATTGGTGAGCAAGTACAGAAACACCCACCGATTACCATTGATGTCACCATTAACGATATTCCGTGCACGATGGAGGTAGATACTGGTGCTGAAGTTTCTATTCTCCCTGAATCTGTTTGGAAAGAGAAGTTTTCCCATATATCTTTAGAACAGAGCTCTGCGTCTTTGCATGCTTATGGTGGACATCCTCTAGTCGTTAAGGGAGAGTGTACCGTTTCAGTCTGTCATGAGTCTCATTCGTTCAAAGATCGTATCATTGTTGTAGGGGGATCAAGCCAGCCCCTGTTCGGTCGTAACTGGATGTCACACATTGTAGTGGACTGGTTAGATTTCCGTACTGCTCAAGCCAACGCTCTCTCCCTTAACGATATTTTGGCTCAGTTTCCATCGGTATTCCAAGAGGGTTTGGGAACTATCAAGGGTCATACAGCAACTATTCATTTGCAAGGTTCCCCTGCCCCAAGGAGTTTCAGCGCAAGACCTGTGCCCTATGCATTGAATTCCAAGGTCGAGGCTGAATTGACGAGATTGCAGACTGAAGGGGTTATCAAACCTGTTGACCATGCAGACTGGGCTTCCCCTATTGTCACGGTGCGTAAGAAGAACAACTCTATCCGTCTATGTGCTGATTTCAAGGTTACAATTAACAAGTGTTAGGTGTTCCGGCTACTGATGCCCCCTCACACCGGAACACAGGGGTTTTATATGATTGGATAATTTATAGAAGTATTCGATAAGAGTGTAGACAGAAGGAGAACAGGACAACGACCACTCAAGACTAGACTACAACAGAACAGAACCTGGAGCATGCGCTCTTCTATGTGAGTGGCTCATTGCCAAGGCGAACGAGCGGGAAATACGAATAGTGAGTATTCAGGTCGTAGCATACATACAC